CTCCTCCTCCTCCTCCTCCTCCTCCTCCTCGTCCTTCTCAAGGCCCAGACTCAAGCCCAGGCCCGCGCTCGCGCGCCCGGGCGGAAGGCGCTTCCGCCGCGGACCTTTTCGGCAGGGCCCGTGCCGTTGCAAGGCCTGTTCGGGGACGAGCGAGATGCTCACCCAGGCGCGATCGCGGCGTAAGCAAATCAGGACGGAAGGTTTTTGGCTATCTTCGGCCCGAGGGGGTCCCTCGCCGGGCCTCGGGGCCGTCAGAGAACGAGTCGGGAAGAAAGCTGGTCGGGACGCCGTCCTGAAGAAACCAGGACGTCGCATGTCTGGGCAGCCACATGATTCCGGGGCTGTGCCCTCTCTTGGCCTCGACGTGGAGCCCCTCCTCCTGCCTTCCCCTCTCTGCTAAAAATTCAAGCCCTGCGCGGCCCGCGCTTAGCTTCGACCGGAAGGGGGGTGCGCTCTCGACCCGCGGATCGAACAAGTCAGGGCAGCCACGCGCAGAGGGGGGGCAGGGGGACGAAGGTCTGAGGTTCGAGGTCTCGATGTCTCTGGGCGCTGTCGTCGGTTCTCGGCGGCGGTCGTCCGGCCTCGGCGTGCTCTCCAGCGGCCGCGCCTCGCCGAGGGCTCTTTTCTCGGGTTGCGCGGGTGCCGTCCCGAGCGGCCGCCGGAGGCCCGAGCTGCCACCCGAAGACTTATCGGCCACGCGCAGAGAAGGGGGGGGGCAGGCGGAGGGGGGGGGAGGCTCCTCAGAAGCACCCCCTGCTTCTCAGGAGGCGCGGGCCTTGTCTGTAGACGTGAGGCCGGCGCCTTCTGAGAAGCAGCCTCCTTCTTCTAAGAAGCCCTCCCCCCTGCCCCTACCCCCTGCTCGCGCCGCCAGGAGATGTGTCCCCTCAGTGGCCCTCAGCGGCATCGTACACATACCCCAGCAAGGAGCGGCTGGGAGCGCTGGACCCCAGACGCCAAAGATGGCCATCAAGAAACACGGTTCTACTTCTATGAAGAAAGTGGAGGGTGGAGGGGACGAGCACCCATACAGCCTCGTCGCTACAGCCGGCCGCGACTTGAACAACGCTACTCTGGCACTGGCTGGTCGAGGAGGCGCCGTCTGAACCAAACATTAGCTAACGTGCAGAGCCCATGACCAGCGCATGCGAGAAGGTACAATGGCTGCTGGAGGATGCGACATCAAGATCCGCGCGGAGCCCACAACCATCGCAGAAGAGAAGGTGCAGTGGCCGCTGGATGAGGGAAAGCCGGAGTCCAACATCATCAGCTGCCGTTCAGGGCCCGCGCACGCAGCATGCGAGAAAGTGCAGTGTGCGATGGAGGTGGCCAAGGAACTGCCCAGCTCCGACAGCTGCCTGGCGGAGCCCGACACCATCGCGCGCGAGAAGATGCAGTGGCCACCAGAGGAGGCGACGCGAAAGAGCCCAGCTGCATCAGCGACCGTGCGGGAGGCGCGAAAGGCGCGCGCGAGAATGTTCAGTGGCCGCCAGAGGGGGCGAAGCAGGTTGCCTTCATCATCAGCTGCCGTGCGCAGCCCGCGACCATCGCGAAGAGCAAGCGCAGTGGCCGGTGGAGGAGGCAAACTTCACCGAGCCCAACATTATCTGCTGTCATAAGTGCTCTGATGCCTCGAAGATCTCCGTGGCCGCAGGGTGCCGAAGGCGACCAGACCGAAAGCAAACGCGGTTGTTTTCAAACCTCCAAGTCCCGGCAGTTGCATCCCATGGCCAAGGCTAGCGCATGCTCGCGCGAGAAGGGCAGTGGCCCGGAGAGTCATCGCCATTCTCTCGCCCGTCTGGTGATCTGTGTCTCAGTCGCAGCCAGATTCTCCCGATTCCCGATGTCTCCTGTTCCTCCTCCTCCCTCCCCCTTCTTCCTCCTCCATCCTCTCCGCTCCTCCCCGCTCCGCTCTTCCCCGCTCCTTCTCCTCCTTCTCCTCCTCCTCCTGCGCCTCCTCCTCCTCCTCCTCCTCCTCCTCCCTCCTCCTCCTCCTCCTCCTCCTCCTCCTCCTCCTCTGGACCCATGCACAGTCTCCGGGACTCTCCAACTCACACATCCACTTTGCCCGTGTCATCCCTTGTCGGCCCCCCTTTTGCCGTGGCCCCCCAGATTGATGTCCAGCCTCATGACCGATCGCGCCACCCCTCCCTCCTCCCCTCTCTCGTCCGCGTCGGAACAACCTCGGCCAATCTCGGAGCTTGTTTCTCTTTATTGCTTGGGTCATAGCGCGCGTTATGTCCCCCCCGGCCCAGCCCCCCCGCCATAACGCAACGCTCCGGCCCCCAGTGCGCTCCCGGCACTGCCGTCGTGCGCATGGGGGTCCGCATAGGAACCCGAATAGGGATTCGAATAGGCATCCTCACAGAAATTCGCATTTGGGATCCGCATGGGGATCGCATTCCGTCGGGATACGCATCGGGATCCGCATTGGGGTTCCCAGGGATCCTTATAGAGGGGCATCCACACAGAGATCCGCATAGGGATCCGCATGACAATTAGCTCATGCATCCGCATATGGATCCGCATAGAGATCCGCACAGGCATCCGAATTGGGATCCGCATAGGGACGCGCATAGGGATCCCAAGAGGGGTCCTCATAGGGATCCGCATAGGGATGCGAATAGTGGCGTTCGTCGCGAGCAAGTTGCGGTGCTCTCAGGCACTTGCGGTTTTCGTAGGAGATGGACGACCACGACGACGACGGGTAGAAGGAGGGGGAAAGAGCGAGGAGTGAGGAGGGAGGTAAGGAGCATACCCCTTAAATGCCACGCGGAAGCAACGACCATGTGCTCGCCCCCACTCCTCGTCGCTCTTCGTTGTTGGTCGTCGTCGTTGTCGTCGTCGTCGTCGCCGTCGCACGTCATCGTTGTCGTCGCTATTCAATGTAGGTCGTCGTCGTCGTCGTTGTTGTCATCGTTGTCGTCGTCGTCGCCGTTGCTCGTCGTCGTTGTCGCTGTCGCTCTTCAATGTCGGTCGTCGTCGTCATCGTCGCTAGTCGTCGTCGACGTCGTCGTCGTCGTTGTCGTCGTCGTCGCCGTCGCTCGTCTTCGTCATCGTCGTCGCTAGTCGTCGTCGTCGTCGTCGTCGTCGTCGTGGTCGTCTCCGTCGTCGTCGTCGTCGTCGTCGTCGTTGTCGTCGTCGTCATCTTCGTCGTCGTCGTTCTCGTCGTCGTTGTCAAACGCCTTCGAATGCTTTCGAGTGCCTCTGGAGGTCTTCGGATGATTCCGGAAGGCCTCTGGGGGCTTCCGGGGGGCTTCAGGAGCCGTCTGGAGGCCTCGGGAAACCTCTGGAGACCTCCGGAAGCGTCGCTCGTCGTCGTCACTGTCGTCGCTCGTCGTCGTCGACGTCCTCGTCGTCATCGTCGTCGTCGGCGTCGTCGTCGTCGTCGTGGTCGCTCGTCGTCGTGGTCGCTCGTCGTCGTCACGGTCGACGTCGTCGTCGTCGTCGGCGTCGTCGTCGTCGTTGTCGTCGTGGTCGCTCGTTGTCGTCGTCGTCGTGGTCGCTCGTCGTCGCCGACGTCGCCGTCGTCGCCGCGGTCGTCGTGGCGGTCGTCGTCGTCGTTGTCGTCGTCGCTGTAGTGGTCGTCGCTTGTCGTCGTCGTGCGCGCGGACGTCGTTGCTGCGCCGGGACTGCACGGCGGGGGGGGGCGTTATGCTATGCCCCCCCCCCCCGGCCCGCCCCCCCATAACTCAGGAGGGAAAAAAACACACAGACACAATGAATCGTCGATCCCCCAGAAAATAGGGGAAAATATGGGAAGTGGGGGGGAAGACAAAAACTCAGAACATATTGGAAAAGATGGGGAATCCGTTCACTTGTGTGTATTTATTTGTGTGTCCCAGGGCCCCTTCCAGGACGTCCGCTGTCGCCGCGAGCGAAGGAGCGCGCTCTCCGAGACCCACTTCTGAGGCACCCTCTTCGGCGAAAAAAAAAGGACGGCGTGCGACGTGGCGCCGCCGGCCCAGGGCTTGTGGCACGGTGCCTCCCCCCCCCCCACCTCTGAGGACGGCGTGCGGGCGGAGAAGCCTTGGCAGGCGGCACTTCGTGCGCACGGCAGACTTGCGGTTGTAGTGCAGCGTGGTCTGTATACACCGTAGGCGATGCTTAAGAAAACTTGAGTTTTCGGCCAGAGTCTCGATTATTCTTAACGTTTGAGTGTAAATCCTAAGATTTTGATAGAAATTTGCGGTTTTTATTCAAGTTCTGAGACCATGAATTTCTGAACCCATGATTTCTTAACCATTTCGCGTGGTGTAATGCTGATGATCGTGTTCAACACTTTTCCACATCTGTGTCCTGCGCAATCTCCGGGCGTATTGACTTCTTGCCTGCTTGCTTGGAGAAGCATTGGCGGGCGGACGGCGTGCGCAGAGGGGGCCTTCGCGGGGGGATCGCCTCACAGGGATGCACGCTGTTCCTTGCGAGATACTCGGGAGTTCTCTGACTTTTGCTGGGGGCCCAGATCCTTTCATGTCCAATTGTCCTACCCTCGGCCTCTTCCTGGCCACCAGGGGGCCAGGAACAAGTAGAAACGAGCACAGTTAGAAATCAGCACGATTAGAGATGAACGACGTGCAGCGTTCGTTTCGGAGATCTGCGTTGCGCGGTATTTTTTACTAAAGCCAACCGTAGGGGTCCTCGATCGGCGCTGTGACCACACCGTCTGGCGAGTCGGATGTGATCTGGGACCAGCGGGCTTATTAGATGGTTGTGGGTCGTTCTCCGAGGATGCCTTGAGCGCCTGGTTCCCAAACCCGTATGGCGACGGATCGTCCGGTGAGACCTTCGGGGGCCAGAGGTCTTTGTACGGTCTGTCACCATAACGATCCAAGATTTTTTCGGGTTGGGTCGATACCTCCTGGGGGCCGACGCATTGAAAACATCATGACGTCGGGCGTCTGGGTTTGGGATCCCAAACGTTGGTAGTGGTGTCTGGGGGCCCTCTTGGGTCCTCCTTTGGGCCGTCCACTCCCATTCCTCGTCGATTGTAACTCTCACAGGAGCAGTATGCGGAGGCTGGCCTGTCGTGCAGTTGCCCGGCTGACACCACCGTGTATTCGGAGGGCGTCCTCACGGAGGCAGCGAGAGGGGGGGAGGATTGTGGAAGGGGAGAGACACGGCCAGGATGACAAACAGCAGGAGACGGATACGCAGCAGCAACAACAGGCGGCTGGGACGAGGAGGGGGTGGCCAAGGAGGAGGAGGAGGAGGAGGAGGAGGAGGAGGAGCGGGAGGTGTTGGTTACGAAGTTGAGGATGAGGAGGGGGCATGTGAGGAGGCCACGCGTACGAGAGAGCAGGGTGTAGGCTGAGGGCCGACGGAGAGATTGCAGAGAGCACACAGTGGATTCCATGCCCCCAGCGCCCAGGTGGTCGAGGGACATCCCCCAGGAGGGGAGAGCACGCGCGAGTTGAGCAATCACGTTGGCAATCTGTTTGAAGCCGGGGATGGAGCGGCGGGCCTGAAAGGCTGCCTCCGCCTCCGCCTCCGCCTCCGCCGCCTCCTCCTCCTCCTCCTCCGCCTCCTCCTCCTCCTCCTCCTCCTCCTCCTCCCTCTCCCCCTCCCCCTCCCCCTCCCTCTCCTTCTCCTCCTCCTCCTCTTTCTTCTTCTCTTCCTCCCTGCCCCTCTCTCCCTCAACCCTCCTTCGCCGTCGCCTCCGTGTGCGATCTGGCTGGGGCAGAGGCCGCGCGATTGGCGGGGTGTCTCGAGGGTTCATGGTCTCGCCTTGGTACTGGGACCAGCCAGGCATCGCATCCTCGCTGGAAGCAAGCCCAGACATGATCGCGTCGTAACAAAAATCATGACGGGAGATTGTTTGCTATTTTCGGCCCCGGGGGGTTCCTCGCTGGGCCTCGGGACTGTCAAAGAACGACTCAGAACGAAAACCGGTCCTGGGGAGAGGGTCGGGACTTCCAGGGACGCCGTCCTGAACAAATCAGGACGTCGCATGTCTGGGAAGGGATGCCCAGGGGGTGGAGGCCAAATATGGGGAGCAGGTTCGACGACATGTGTTCCGGGGTCATCGTGGCAGAGGGACGCATCACAGAGTCCTTCTCTCTCCGACCGAGCCGACTCAATATCGGGAGGGCCTGCCCGATCTTATCCGACTCCGATATTCTGGCGACCCGATGCGGCCCGACGGTTGCTGCATGGCGTTGTTGTTCATCATGGCGCAGCCGATTCGACTCCGACTCCGTGCCGATGCAGCCCGATTTGACGAAGATGTGGATTTTGGATCCTATTCCCTGATTCGATGCTGGCTGATCTTGTGTCACAGGGATGTGTTGTGCTGACGCGTGCGTGTTGCCGAGGTCATGTCGCCCGGGATGTGGGCTGAGGCAACCTGGGACTAGGGGGGGTCCGCGCTGCCAGAGCTGCTGCGGCCTGTACAGCTAGATTATGCAAAGTGGGCGGAGCAGGATGGAACTGCGGAGGGGGAGGAGGAGGATTCGAGGCGTGCGCAGGGTTAGGCGGAAGGCGGAGGAGGAGGAGGAGGAGGAGGAGGAGGAGAAGCAGGAGAAAGAAAAGGAGGAGGAGGAGGAGGAGGAGGAGGAGGACGAGCTGGATGAAGTAGAGGAGCAGGATGAAGTTGAGGAGGAGAGGGAGGAAAAGGGCTGGGAGGACCGGGCTCTGCAGACCACCACGCTGCAGTGTCTCGGCCGCCGTGTCTGCTGCCACTTCCTTTTGGCCAGTCGTGGCTGCGATGCGGCCTTCCTTCGCGAGGGATGCACGGCCAAAGTAGGCCACGTGGGGGTGGGTAGGGGGCAGGGAAACATGTACACGAAGAAGGATCCTGGCCAGGCCCATCCTGGGCCCAGGATCGGTGCATAGGCCTCCCTGGCCGAGCCAGAAGGACGCATACTACACCGACCCTGGGTCCAGGGCCGGCGCCTGTGCAGACTGCTCTTCCCTCCAGGAGGGCAGGGGAACGAGTCGGGGTGGGGTCCGCCAGTGCTGCGGGCGAGAGGGCCCACGGGAACTGCGCTCCGCCACCTGGGGGAGCCCTCCCCCTCGCGCCGAGGCTCGAGGTTCCAACCCCTCAGCCCAGGGCCCAATTCGGCGCAGGGCTGCCTGCATGGAGCCTCGGGCCCAGGGGAGGGGCGGAGGAAGGGTTGGAGGAGCAGGAGGGGGAGAGGCTGGGTGAGGAGCAGGAGGAAGGGGAAGACGGCAGGAGAGGAAGGGGATCCGAGAGGACTCGAGTGGCCTGGTCAACCCTGCTGTGAGCACGACAGCAGGGCCGACGAGAGGGGGCAGCACCAACCCCCAAGCCCATCCTGGGCGACAATGGCTGCCTCACGAGCTGTAGCCCTGAAAGGCGTACTCCAGATTTCGGAATAAAGGGGGGGTCTCATTTCGGGGGGGGTCTCTTCCAGGCTATCTTGGAGGGCCTGGGGGGGTCTGGGGACGATGTTTTGGAGGGTTCTCCCAGGGGGGGGTCTAAAACTTTTCGTCTGGGAGGGTTGAGACCCCCTCCTTTTTATTATGAAATCTGGAGTACCGAAACAGTAGCTGACAACGTTTGGCTCCCGCTCCCGCCCAACGACTATTGGGCTCCAGCGTCGCCCCCCGCTCCTCACACCGAGGCCTTCCACCGAGCTCCCGAGGACTCGCAGCCCTGCTCTGCGCGGCCGCTCCCCTTGGCCACGTCGCAACACGAGCTGAGCCCAGCCACTGCAGTTGGTGGCGTCAGCTCCTCTGCGCCTCCACCCCCATCGCGCTGCCGCGGCCTGCTGCCGCGGCTTGCCCTTCTCGCACCGCCCATTCCTGCTGCCGCTGCCGAACCTCCTCCTCCTCCTCCTCCTCCTCCTCCTCCTCCTCCTTCTCCTCCTCCTCCTCCTCCTCCTCCTCCTCCTCCTCCTCCTCCTCCTCCTCCTCCTCCTCCTCCTCCTCCTCCTCCTCCTCCTCCTCCTCCTCCTCCTCCTCCTCCTCCTCCTCCTCCTCCTCCTCCTCCTCCTCCTCCTCCTGGTCCCTCCTCCTCCATTGCCAATTCCAGAAGCAGAACCGTAACCGAAGATGTCCGCTCCCGCACTGCCGCCGTCTCGCATTTCCCGGCAGCCTGCTGTCACTGCGTGCCCCTCTCGCACTGCCAGCGCATGCTGCCCCTGCCTGCCTGCGCACACGAGCTGACCCCAGCGTTGTACAGTGGAGGCCCATGCCAAGAAACACCCTGCTTGCCTCCGGGGTGCCCTGGGTTTCTTGGGCTTCGATGGTTTTGCGATGGAAAGCGTGACGCCCCCACACCAAAAATCAATGGACGTCCTGGGGTCTCATGGTTGGACTTCTGGAGGAAGGTTTCTTGTGGACGGGCCTCCATTATAGTTGAGGGCGTCCGCTCCTGCATTCCCGCCCTCTCGCAGTGCCAATCATTTGCTGCCACTGCGCGCCCTTCTCGCACTGCCAGCTCCTGCTTCCATTGGGTGCCTCCGCACACGAGCTGATCCCCGCTCTGTAGCTGGTGACGTTCGCTCCTGCACGCTTCTCGCAGTAATCACCAGCGCTTGCTGCAACTGCTCGCCTTGTCGCTATCGGGCTCCGTATTTGCATTCTGCTTCCCGCGCGGAGTCGGTTGTAGCTGATGGCATCGGGCTCGACCTTCGCCTTTTTTCTCGAAGCGTCGGTCACCAGCTTCGACTCCCGCTCTTCGGCATGAGGATGTTGGTCTGGTTCCAACTTCACCTTGCCCTGATCCCAGCGCTGTAACAAATGTCATCGGGCTCGTCCTTCATCGGCCTCCGTCTTCACCGCTCACTTTGGATATCGCTTTGAGTGTAACTGACGGCATCGGGCTCGTTCTTCACCTTCAGACAGCGCCAGCGCCCGAGGCCACTGACTGTGCATGTCCTCATTCTCGCACGGGCTGCTCCCATCGTTCCTGCTGATCGTGGCCTTCCCGCACCTGCCTCGCAGCGCCAGGGTCTGTTGCCACCGCGCGCCCCGCTTTCGTACGGGCTGCTCCCGGCGTCGCCGCCGATCGTGGCCCACCCGCGCTGTCTGTCGCCCTCGCAGCACCAGCACCAACTGCCATTGCGTGACTTACGAGCCTGTGTTGCCTGCACTTCCGCCGCGGCGGACTTCTCACTGATCCCTACAACGTGGCCGACCACGAGCCTGTGTTGCCTGCACTTCCGCCGCGGCGCTCCGGAGGCTGGCGCTGCAGCTCGCCGGATTGACGAGGGGAGGGGGGAGGAGGAGGAGGAGGAGGAGGAGGAGGAGGAGGAGGAGGAGGAGGAGGAGGAGGAGGAGGAGGAGGAGGGGGAGGAGGACGACGACGAGGGAAAGGAGGGGATCGCGGAGGGAGCCCAGTCTCCTGGCGGGTGCGGCCGCATCTCTTCTCAGCACTGTAGTTGATGACGTGGGGCGCCACGCTTCTCGGTGCTGGCTCTCGTCGGCCACGCGCAGAGGGGGGTAGGGGGAGGGGGGAAGGCTTCTTAGAAGCACCCCTGCTTCTTAGAAGGCGCGGTCCTATATATATATATATATATATATATATATATAAGGCCGCCACCTTCTAAGAAGCAGCCTCCTTCTAAGAAGCCTTCCCCCCTCCCTCCACCCCCTTCTGCGCGCCGCCAATCTCGCGAGCAGGGCCATATCGAAGTTTGTCCGCGAAACACCCGTGCGCGCCCCGTGCAGTGGGGCCGCCCGGGCGCGAACTTGCGGGAGAGCGAGGGGAGGAGAAGGGGGAGGAAGAGGAGGAGAAGGACGAGGAGAAGGAGCAGGAGGAGGAGAGGGGGGGAGGGCGTGGAGCCCGAGGAATCCGAGGAGGCAAGGGCGCAGAGGGCCAGTCGTCCCTTGTCGTGGTTTGGTTCAGCGCGCGGCCCCCGCAGTCCTAAACTTTTGCCGCGGGGCCAGCTTTCCATCCTGAGTCGTCTCTCGACGGCCCTGGAGGTCGAGCAGCCAACCCCCCCAGAGGCCGAAGACGATGGCGCTCGGGTGTTCCCGCTCTTGAGAGCCGTTGCTTCTGGCTCTCCTGGCCTACAGTGTATCTGGCTTGTCTGGTTGGACTTGTGCATGATGGCCGACCAGGCCTGTTTTGAAGCAACAATGGTGAGAGCCGTTGCCTCTGGCTTCTCTGGCCTACAGTGTATCTGGCTTGTCTGGTTGGACTTGTGGATGGTGGCCGACCAGGCTTGTTTGGAAGCCGCACTGGTGAGAGCTGTTGCTTCTGGCTTTCCTGGTCTATAGTGGATCGTGCTCGTCTGGTTGGACCCGTGGATGGTGGCCGACGAGGCCTGTTTGGAAGCTGCACCTGTGAGAGATGGTGGCTGGTCAGGCCTGTTTGGAAGCTGCACTGGTGAGAGCCGTTGCCTCTGGCTTCTCTGGCCTACCAGTGTATCTGGCTTGTCTGGTTGGACCTTTGGATGGTTTTCAACCGGGCCGTTTTGGAAGCTGCACTGGTGAGAGCTGTTGCTTCTGGCTTTTCTGGCCTATCGTGTATCTGGCTTGTATGGTTGGACCTGTGGATGGTGGCCAGCCAGGCTTGTTTGCAAGCTGCACTTGCGTTCTGCTCCGCTGCCTTGAGACACCTTGGGGGTGACGCGTAACACGTACCGTGTTCAAAACCTACCGGGTCGAGACTTTCGTGTTGGTTATGCACGTTTGTCACGGTTTGGCATTTGTATGCGATTTGGGTCTTTCCCGATGGCACGTGCTGCGCAGTGTGGCGACATGCTGCGTGTTGGTCTTAGGGCAGTCGAGATGTCCTGGCTTGTGGTTTATGTTGTGCTCTGCTGCACCTGTGATGCGGTTGACCTGGTTTGCCTCTTTGGGGAGGCACGTGGCACGCCCGTCTCTCGGGGCAGCCAGGGCATGTGCGGGCGGCCGACCTTCGCCAACGACGTGGTCGCGCTGAGCAGCCAGCCTCCGCCCACCGAGCTTTCCTTCGACGAAAGCAGAAGCGCATAATCATAAACTGCCTGAGCTCCGCGCGGCACTCTCTCGGATCGGCGCTGACCCCTTTTGCTGGCGCCTCCGGCGCCGCCCCTGGGGATTCGGCGCAGATCCCAGAGACCCACTCGGATTTCAAGAAGTCGATGCTTACGCCGCCGCTGCTTCTTCTTCTTCTCGAAAAGACCCCCCAGAGTTGTCAACGTGTTTGGATGCCACGGGCCCTCCCCGGGCCCTGGAACACATGGAGGCTGAGCGGCGCATGCTGTTATCCCAGGCCCCACGTGGGTCAGCCACACGGGCGACGACGGTTTCTGCCACCATGAAGCACAGCGAGGAGCTTATCGAGCGCGGGAAACTTCTTAAGCGGCAGGCGGAACAGACGACGAATGCCAGCAGAGCTGCAACAGCCAAGGACTCTCTGCGGAGTCCTCGGAGTGGCCAGGGCCGACGCTCGTGGAGCGGGGGGGGGCCCCGGACGGCGCGGTGGCCACGCCGTGTGGTGAGCCAGTGGGGCTTCGGGATGACACACCCCAGACATGATCTTGGTGATCTTGGCATCGCTCGGACGTGTGGATTTTTTTCTCGGCGAGGACCATCGAGGAGCATTTTTTATCATTCAGCCCCCCCAAAAAACACACTACATCAAAATATGCACTGGGAGTGGACGTCAGAGCGATGGCGAGTGATCGCGTCGCAAAACAAGCAGGACGGGCGGGGAGAGGGCGGGCCTCGCCGGCCTTCGTGCCCGTCGAAAAAACGGTTTATAGGACGAAAAAGCCGGTCCCGGAGAGCGGGTGGGGACTTCCGGGGGCGCCGCATTGAAAAAAGCCAGGACGTCGCATGTCTGGGACGGCTTCGAGGCCTGCGTCGTTCTCCGAGGACGTCTCGGGCGACTGGGGCCTCCAGGGTCCCAAAGGCCAGGCGGCGACGCACCGTGCGGTGAGGTCTTCGAGGTCACTTAACGGTCTGTCGCCGCACCTCTCTTGGGCCCCGCAGACGAAGGCCAGGGACCCTCCAGGTCTTCCCTCCCCCCCCGCTCCGAGAGCCACCGGCGTGCAGAGCGCACCTCTGCGAGGAGGAGGAGGAGGAGGCGGAGGAGGAAGCGGAGGAGGAGGAGGAGGAGGAGGGAGGAGGGAGGAGGGAGGATGTTGATGATGATGATGGTGATGACGATGATGATGATGATGATGATGATGATGATGATGATGATGATGATGAGGATGAGGATGATGATGATGATGATGATGATGATGATGATGATGATGATGATGATGATGATGATGATGATGATGGTGATGACGATGACGATGATGATGATGATGACGAGGAGGAGGAGGAGGAGCAGGAGGAGGAGGAGGGCGCAAGCATACACCCATCCATTCGGTCCCGGTTCGGTGCGGCCCTCGTTGTCGGAGCGGCCCCTCTCCGCGCGCCGAGGGCGGGGGGGGCCTCGAGGCTCTGGTCTCCCCCGCCCTCTCGCACACGCGCGCGTGCGCACGAGGCGTGGATTTGGGTCGGGCGTGCTCCACTGCAGGGCACCGCCTGGTTCCGAGGCTCTGCCTCCTCCCGGCCTCGTCCCGAGGCCGCGCCCCCCTTCTCCTCCCCCCTTCTCTGCGCAAGGCACGCTTCGCGCGGCCCCCTCCTCTGCCTCGGCCGGAAGAGGTGCGCTCTCGACCCGCGAATGAGAAGTGTGGCACTGCAAGGGGGGCATCTTCAAGAGTAGTCACACAAAATAACATGGGGGCGATTGTTGGACCATTGTTGGGCATGGTTGGTGCATTTCTGGTGTATGTTTTCTCTGTCGTCCAAAATCCGCCTGTAGGGGAACATGCCCGACCTAAACATAGATGCCAGATGCAGCTGTGTGCGAGTCGCGGCTTCCCGCTGGCGGCTGCTATTTGGCTGGCGTGGACCAATCCACTGTCGGCATCATCCATGTGCGCTGCCGCGCAGGCGGCCGCATTTTACCGACCGTCGACCTGCCCAGGCGTGCCGATTATGCTGCGCGGGAAGAAAAGCGCCTCACCTCCTGCGTTCTGGGAGCTCTTCCCACTCACCCCATCCTGCAACTGTCCTGCAGCTTGATGCGTCTGTATAGAAGTCCCGACGTCGCGTTACGCTACGACAGAGAACATAATACAACCGTGACATCAAGCCGTGAGTGCGTGCACTGTGGACGTGCAAGCTACGTGATGTATGCTAAGTTCTGACGCTTCTCGTATCCCAACCAGCTCATCCAGACAGGATGCCCATGGGAGCTGCCTGGAGGAGGGGAGTAGGTAAGCAGATAATGAAGCAGGGATGCGAACGATGGTAATTAAGGTGATGGGCTTCTGGGAGCCTGTTGGGGCCATTTCGGCGCAATGTTGGAGCCGTCTTGGGGCGCTTTTGGGGGATCTATTGAGGGCCCCCGAGTCCATCTTGGGGTAATCTTGAAGGCCTCGGTCGAAAGGGGGGGTCCTTGATTCGCCCCCCCCCGCGCCCTCTCTCGGAGGCCGAATAGGTAGCTCTCGGGCCCTTTTGTAGCGCTCCTGGGGCGCTATTGGGCGATAGTGGGGCCGTTTCGGGCCACTCTTGAGGCTGTCTTGGGCCATTTCGGAGCCAGCATATGAGACTTCAAAGGCTCGTCGCAAACAAAAAGGCGAGCACCCAATGATTGATCTCCTGGTGGTGTTGGGGCGATGTTGGCTTCTGGGGGGGGTCCCTGTGGAACTTCGTGGCCACTCGAAGACGTTTTGCGGACCTACGCGCACGAGGCCGCCACTCGCGGCGACGGGGCGAATACACCAAAAAGCCTACCAATCACCTCGAAACCAAACAAAACATGCAGAGGAGGAAAAGGTAACTACCCATACCACTACGCCTGCCTCGCTGTTCCCTTTTGGGGCCTCTTTGGAGGCCCTCGTCGCCACCGCCAGATTCCCCTCGAGATCCTGGTCAGAACGCATCCCAGGAGAGGTCCGGAGAGCAGCGGTATGGGTACCTTTTTGGTTTTCCCGTGCCAATCCATTCGAAACCAATCAAGAAACCCTCAGCGCACGTGTTTCTGCCAGGGGAAGGTTGCCGAGGTCTCTTCGGTGGCACATGGGGTGTTCTTCTCGGGGGCGCAACGAACCTTCGCGGAACCGTTCCGGAAACCCTGAGCACAAATATATTGTCATTCCGCAACCCTCTGCCGACGTGGAGATTCGCCAGAAAGGAGAAGCCCCCCGACGAGAGAGAGAGAGAGAGAGCAAAGAATGAGAGAGAGAGGAAAAACAACGGTTATCAAGAGCGAACATCCAGGCCACACACCAGGGCTTCTTGGGGAGGATGCGGTGGACGTCTGACTTCAGCCGTCAGTTGGCGCCGTGGTCATGATGGTGGTCCCAGGCTCCATGGCTGGCGCAGACAGACCTGCAAGTGTCCGATGTCGAGGTCCTGCACGCGTCTTTGCATCAGGCATGCGATCTCCACGCAAGGGCGCCAGATAGTGGCGAGGATGACCCAGGTCTCCTGCGCCGTGACTTCCTTCGAACGGGGAGGCCCTGAAGTCCAGACCCACCCCCCAGGCCAGTCCCCAACCTGCCAGGAGCTCTTGACAGACCCGGGGCCCCGGGAGGGCCCCCCGGCGGCGGAAGGTTGGCAGCGATTTCAGCTCGTGCTTGGTTTTCTCTGAGACGGCGGGAGGTCTATAGGGAATGCGGACCTGCTCAGCAGGATCATGTCTGCTGGGCCCAGACATTTGCACTGTGTGCGCGTCGCCTCCGAATCGGCGGCAAGCATATAGCAGTAACCTTGTAGAGCGAGCGGCTTGAGTAAGGAACACTTACTTTTCAAAAGGGTCTCGATCGTTCCGTAGGCTTGCATGCGTTACTTGTCGTTCCGTATGCGTTATCTTTTATCACTCGTTCCTTATGCGTTACTCCTTTGAAAAAGGGGCTTCGGTCCTCATTTACCGTTCTTTAGGTCAGGCCGATGACTGTAGGAGTACCAGCAGCTCGCAGGCGACTTCTGGTTCCCAAATCCCGAGGTCCCTCCCACGGAATGGTCTGTTTGTGTGTGTGTGTGTGGGGGGGGGGGGGGAGGTCTGCGGGAGCTGGATCCAACTGGCGGTCAAGCAAGCGGCGGGACGCGCCCGCTCCGAGTCGAGGCACAAAGGGCGCAGGCGGGCGCGGGGCGACAGGAAAGAGAGGGCCGTCGGACGGCCCGCTTGGCATCGCTCGGACGTGTGCCTTTTTCTTTCGGCGAGGACCATCGAGGAGCACCCTTGATCCTTTGGCGAGAAAGCCACGCACGAAACCGACACAAAAACACAGGGAATGGACGTGTCCGAGCGAGGGCGGGCCGGCCCGAGAGCAGGCCCGACAAAAAAAAGGGGGGCCGCCAGGAAAAGAAGGCGAACTCGGAGAGGCACCCCGCAGGGCGCTACTCGGGCGCACCCCCGATCGGGCATCCTCCTCCTCCTCCTCCTCCTCCTCCTCCTCCTCCTCCTCCTCCTCCTCCTCCTCCTGGTCGCCACCCCACCATCCCCGCATATCGCTCACTGTGGCTCAAGTCTTCGCGTCCCGTCGAGGCTCCCGCAGGAAAGCGGAGATGGGGCCCGCCATACACCCCCCCGTTGGCAGCGGCAGTCCCAGGATGAGGATACGTCGGCCCAGACATTCCTGAACGCCCTTCTCCTCCTCCTCCTCCTCCTCCTCCTCCTCCTCCTCCTCCTCCTCCTTCCTCCCTCATTCCTTCTCCCTCCTCCCTCCTCCCTCATATGACCACTATTCACGATGCGTCCTTTGGGCCCGCCTGCTTTCCGAGATGCCCCACTTGGCCTCGTCCGAAGTTGCCCCAGGGTACCACGCAGAGACTGGCGACCAGGGTGATCATCGGTGGCTCTCTGAGGGGGGAAGTTCGACGTATTCTGGCGTCTTCGTCGGTTCCGGGAGGTTTTCCAGCCTCGGGGTGCTTTCCAACAGCTGCGCCTCGCCGAGAACGTCCTGCTGGATCTTCCCGAACGGCCGCCGGAGACGCGAGCTGCGACCCGAGGGCCGCACTCCAAGTACTATAGCGTGTCCTTCAGTGCCCTACGATCGGGAGTTGCCAGAAGGCTCCCTGGCCCAGGGTGAAGGTGCCCCAGTTTTTCGCGCCGTGTTGGAGCCACTGGGGCCCTCGGAGCCTCGTGAGGGGTGCGCTTCGGGAGCCGTCTGGGCCTCGGAGTGCGCGGCCGGCGTGGGCCAGCGGCACGCCCGGAAACGGACGGGCCTTCGACTCGTTCTTCGGATTCCTCACAGCTTTGATCGGGCTGCTCGTCGGGTTGTACGCAGGAAGGTGGAAAGCCATGCTGGTCGATTCTCGAGAGGGCGTGCTGGCCATCTCGCCGGAGGTGGTGCCCATGGGATCTGATGGGGCCCTGCTGGGGCTCCTCGCCGGGCGGGCCTGCCTGGCTGCCCCGCAGGCCCCTGAAGAGAGGCAGCCCCCGCGCAGTCTCCCCGCGCATGCTTTTGGCGGTAGCGGCCTCGCAAGCAGCGACGAGGCGGAGAGAGCGCAACCGTCAGCACAGGGCGCTCGGCGGCCAGGCCCCCCACAGATCGTATTGCCCAGGATGCAAGCCATCCCCCCCCCACAGCGACCCCGCTCACACACACACACACACACACACACACACACACACACACACACACACACACACACACACACACACACACACACACACACACACACACACACACACACACACACACACACACACACACACACACACACACACCACACACACACACACACACACACACACACACACACACACACACACACACACACACACACACACACACACACACACACACACACACACACACACACACACACACACACACACACACACACACACACACACACACACACACACACACACACACAACACACACACACACACACACACACACACACACACACACACACACACACACACACACACACACACACACACACACACACACACACACACACACACACACACACACACCTACACACACACATATAAACAACACACAACACACACACACACAACACGCACACTCAGCTCATGAGCAACAGCAGCAGCAGCAGCAGCAGCAGCAGCAGCAGCAGCAGCAGCAGCAGCAGCAGCAGCAGCAGAGGCGGGGCTGGGAGGCCCTCGGCCCGAGCCGGGCGGCCCCCCTCAGCTGGGGGGGGGCGGCAGCCGCCCGCGGCGCCCGCGCGCGGCGATCGGGCGGCCCAGCCCTGGCCCGGACCTCCTCGCGGTCGAGGCGGGGGCGGGGGAGCCAAGGCGAGGAGTGCGCACGCTGGCGTTGGGCACAAGCCGCCTCCGCCTGCGCCCGGTGTGGCGAGCGCACCGCTGTGCATACTCGAGAGGTGTGAGCCACCCTCACTCGGCGTGCCAGCGTCGCGTGCATCCTCACCAGGCCAAGCTAACATGCGCCTTGGGTGTACAGATGTGTCGAGAACTGCTGTCGGGAGGTCTTTTGCCATTTTGCCAGTGTGTTGAAGGCATCGAGGATGGTCTCGCCAACCCTGAGCGTGGTGCCCGCTGCGCCCAGGCTGCATGGCTCGAGGGTGCTGGAAGGAGGAGAGAGGACGGGGTGGGGGAGGGGCCTCTGCCCGGGCGGGGGGGGGGGGCTGGAGGGTTATGTTGTTCCCCTTGCTCGTGTGGACGAAGGATTGCAAAAAAAAAAACAAACGAAGGATTGCAAAGAAAAAAACACGGATTGCAAAAAAAACCAACGAAGGATTGCAACAAAAAACCCGAAGGATTGCAAACAAAAAAAAACCAAACGAAGGATTGCAATCTTGTTTTTTTTGCAATCCTTCGTTATGTTGTTCCCCTTGCTCGTGTGGACCACATCCCAGAAATAATTCCGAGCACCCAGACAAGTATCGAAACCGTGTCGAACGAGTACCGGCCTCCCAGGGCCCGACACCGGAGGTTGCGCCCCGCTGCATGCCCACGAGCCTGCGCGGCGCGGCCCGACCGAGCGGGCCGCGCGGGGAGTGCGGGAGGAAGGGGGCGGAAGGGAGGCCTCCTCCTCCTCCTCCTCTTCTTCCTCCTCTTCCTAGTCCTCCTCCTCCTCCTCCTCCTCTTCTTCCTCCTCCGTAGCCATTTTGGCTCAAGTCCGTAGCGTCTCGCTCAGGACAGGAGTCTGCTGGCGTGGGGGAGGCGCGCCCCCGCCCGTGATCCTGCACCAGCTTTTCGCTGGTTCAGAAAACTTTGTGAGCTCCTGGAGGAGCACTCTACTTACTACGACGTACCTTCCGAGTCCCCGCAGGATTTGCCTCCTGCTTCTCGCCCCATGGCTCCTTCCGCGGCCGCTGCTGTCAGGCCTCCGTGGAGGAAGTCTGCTCCCCCGCCCTGGGTGGGGCAATGGAGGGAGTGGCGAGACATGGGCCCAGGAGGCGACGAAGGTTGGAAGGAGGTCGGTAAAGCACCTGCTTGTGCTAAGTGCGGGTGCAAGAAGAATGTTCGAGGAAGTGTGTACTGCAAAGCCTGTGGCCACAAGTTGTCCGACGTTGCTCCTGCCACAACACCTGAGCCTGGAGGAGTCTGGGCTGATTTCGCACGGCAAGGAGACGGAGGCAAAGGGGGCAAGAAGGGCAAGGGGCGCAAGGGCAAGGGTGGCAAGGGCCCAGACGCTGCTGACGGAGGACAGGCCCTGCCCCTTGCCCCAGGGGCCCAGTTCATGGTGGCCCAGCCTGAGGGCGCCGAGGTGGACATCGGCGACCTGGAGAGGATGGTGGCGATGCTGGAGCGCGTGGGCGACGTGGCCAGCGCGGCGAAGCACAAGTGTACCCTCACTGAGAGGCGCCGCAAGGCGGCCGAGAAGGCGTACGTGGCCCCGCTGTCCCAGAGGGTCACCATGGCCCACAAGCAGGCGGCGGAGGTCAGTCAGAAGCTGGAGAAGGCGGTGGCTCACTTCGAGCGGCTGCAGGAGGGGCTCGAGCAGCAGCGCAAATGGGTGCAGCAGCTCACGGACGAACTCGAGGAGCGCGAGAAGGAGCACTGCCGCCTTGTGGTGGAGTTCAAGGAGACGTACGTGCCGCCGCAGCAAGCCCCTGCTCAGGCGCTCAGTGTGGCTGGCATCTTGGACGGCACGATTGAGACGATTCCGCTGTCCTTTGCAGGCCTGGGTTTCGACGATGCGGAATATGATATGGGGGAAGCGGACAAGCGTGAGTTGGAGGACCGCACCGCTCGCCTGCAGACCGAGCTGGCGGCGGCGGTCAAGGCTATGTTCGGCCAGGCGGCGGAGATGGCCAAGGCCTTCAAGGTGGAGCAGGAGCAGATGGCGGCCCGTCTGGCGGGCAAGCGCAGGCGGCAGGACCCAGAGGCCGCGGCTCCTGGCCCTGAGGCGGCGCCTGCGGCAGCTGCTGGACCGCCTTCCGAAGGCGCTGGGGCAGCTGCCTCCGCGGAGGCCCCCCAGCCTGCGCCCGCTGGGGCGCCAGCTGCAGGAGCGGGTGCTGGAGACGGGCTCAAGCAGCGCGCAGCCAGAATCTGCCGCCCGCCGCCCCCTCAGGCCATGAAATCGGCCTGAGGGGGCCAGCTCCCTGAACAAGGGCGTCGCTGCTGATCAGCTGGGTCCAGCGGCGCGAGGCGGCCCGCCTGGGTCAGGCCCAGGCACGATGGGACTGCCGCCTCCCGAGCCCATTGACCCAGATGGGCCAGAGGCGGCCTTCTACGACGGAGTCACGATGTCGGCGGCCAGGTGGACCCCTCGCCTGCACTCGCCAGAGTCGGGAGCCGACTGCTGGATGCAGTGGTGTCAGCCCTACGTCAGGGAGCTGCTCATGCAGGTCCAGCATGACCACTGGGTGCAGGAGGCTCGCCAGGGCAGGTCTTTGGATCAGATGGCGGAGGACATCTGCGCAGAGGCCTGGGAAGATGGAGCGGAGAATCGTGTCAACATTCTCGGCTTTTTTGATTGGTGTGAATCGAATGACAGAGATATGCTGCGCTGGGCTCTCCGTCGGCACTGGGAGGAGATGCGCAGAATCAAGAACGATATGAGGGATCTGTTGAGCCTGCCACGCGATGAGGGCCAGAGGACCTTCGAGCGAGCAGCTGGCCCGAAACTCACACACGAGAGACCCCTGTGCAGTCCCCCAGCCGCGCCCCTGGGGGAACGAGGTGCTCCGTCTCTGACGAGCCCTGCCTGCGCCAGCGGAGTCTCGTGTGCAGAGCGGGCGCCTGTTTGTGATGGACTTGTTTCGGTGCTGACTGTCACCAGAGGGTTGCCGACCTCTTGGGCAGCCAACCCTGTCGACCTGGAGTGGCCCTCGCTCGGCTTCTCAGTTGCGGCTGCGGGAGGCCCTGATGCACGTCTGCTGGAGGGGCGATGGCACCCTGAGTTGCTGGCTGCCACTGGCGCGGCGACATCTTCGGCAGCGCCGATTTGTGGCGAGGGGGCGCCAGTCGCCTCGGGCTCGGGGGAAGGGGATTCAGCCCCCGTCCGTCACACCCCCGAACCCACGCGTTCTATGGCATCGGCATCTCCCACTGGGTCATGGGCCACGAGAGGTTCGTCTTCGGCTGGGGCACAGGCCCCCTCAGGTGCCAGCCGTGACGCCGCCGCCGCGGAGGCTCCAGCCCCCTGGGGACCCGCCGCCGCCGCGCCGCTGGTGCCAGAGGGGGCCCAGCCACATGAGGGACATATATCGGCACGGGCCCCTCCTTCGGCCAGCCCGAGCGCCGCCGCCGCAGAGGCTCCAGCATCCTGGGGACCTGCCGCCGCCGCGCCGCTGTGCCCAGGAGGGGGCCAGCCGCACGTTCGACCCAGAGGCGCCCCTAGTGGGCATATTCGTCGCCATGCAGCTGGCCCCGATGGCACGCATTGTTCTCATCGGCCGTCGGCCGCTGAGGAGGGCAGCACCGACCATCGGGGACAAGCCTCGAAACTGGAGAACGCGACTGCTCGGCAAGAGGAAGACTCGGTTCTCAAAGTAGTCACCTGCAGTAGTAATGCCTGGGCAACGGCTCGCAAGTTCCTGGAATGGGCCAAAGAGGGGCCTCGGGCTACCACTTTCGACATCGGGCTTTTTCCAGGAGACGAGGCTGACCCAGGCCCAGCAGGAGGGGCCACGATCATGGGGGTACAAGGCTGGTTGCACGTCGACCGTTTCGTGTGCTGCCTCGACAGGGGCGGCTGACAACGCGACGTCAGGGGGAGTTGCTGTGTTGGCGTCGGCCAGGTTTGGGGCGACTGATGTGGTGCACGCGTGCACGTCGGAAAGGATGTGTGCGAGAAGGCTGGTTCTGTCTGAGCGGGTGCAGCTGATGGTGATCTCGGTCTACGGTCACACGCAGATCGGCCTCACGGGAGAGAATATCACGTTTCTGGCGCAGCTCAGTGAACTTTCCTCGTCGTTACCCCTACCTGTGCTCATGGCTGGAGACTGGAACATTGATGCGGAAGCGTTGCGAGAGCCCAGGTGGTGCGAACACCTGGGGGTGACAATTGTTCGGCCGCCTGGGCCAACCTGCCACGACAAATGTTACGACTTCTTTGTGGTCAGCAGGTGCTTGGACTACCATATTGATGAAGTGCGTGAGTGGCCAGACACGCCCACGGGGCCGCACTCGTCGGTGCACCTCCGCCTGAAAGGTCTTGCTGGCGCAGCGAAGGTGTGGAAGCGGATCGCCCCGAAGGCTTTTCCCTTGGCACGGAGGACGAGGAGATACTGAGGTTCGTCACGCCTGAGGGAGGTCAGACGCACGGCTTTGACTTGGACAGGCCCATGGAGGCCGCTGCCCAGTGGTTCGATGCGGCGGAGGCCGAGCTGGTCAAGCTTCATGAGCTGGGAGAAGCCAGGGGGTACGCAGGCAGGTCGTCTGGCTGCCAGATTCAGAAGGTCCCTATGCAGGCGGCCTGGGGTCAGGATCTCAACCAGCGCTGCTCGGTCCTCACGCAGAACTGGCTGTCAGGAGGCTGGCGATGCTCTACATGCGTCGGGTCAAAGACCGTGACCTGTTGCTGGCCAAGGCTTGCGCCTTTGGCCACTTGCTGCAAAGTGCTGAGGTTGGGGAACTCAGAGGTTTCACGTTTGCATTTCTTTTTAGAAGCTTGCTAGCCTGTGATAAAAAAACGGTGGTTGTGAATTGGCTGCAGGCCGAAGTTTCGAAGCGTGTGTCTCAGGAGGCGGCTGAGGGGCGCTAGACATGGGAGTCGCGGGCGCAGTCGTCCGTCGTCGGATGGGGGCCGGGTTGCTCACAGGTACTCGAAAAGCCCCTCGGCGCCTCCCCAGCCCGTCTTGGCTGAAGTTGATGAAGGGGTGACTGTTCCCCTAGTAGGTGATGCCGCACTGCAGCAGACTTTACAAGAGTGGTTGCCGATTTGGTGCAAAGATAATCGAGCTGGCGAGCCCCCGCCTTGGGTCTGGAGGTGCGAAGATAGCTTGCCGCCGATTACTTCGGAGGAGGTCCTTGCGGCTGCCAAGTCGTTTCCCCCAGGCACGGGCCTGGGGTGGGATTCCTTTCACCCCCAGCTCCTTCTTCAGGTCCCCCCCGCGCTCGTCCAGGCCTTCGCCGATATCCTCACGGCCTGGGAACGGGACCCCTCTGTGGGCCCGTTGTGGCTCGTCGTGGTGGTGTTTCTTGCGAAACCGTCTGGGGGGGTCAGGCCTATCGGCCTCCTTCCCCTCTGGGCCCGAGTGTGGAGCAGGATTCGGCATGCCAGATGCGCGGCGTGGGAAGGGGAGCTGGACGCGCCCTTTTTTCTGGGGTTTGAGCACGTCCACTGCTTGCGACAAGAGCGCGTGGGTTCACAATGCTATGGCTGCATTTGCTCGGGAAACTCGGGGTTTAGTTTCGGGTACTTTGTTTCTGGACCTTCGCAAATTCTACGAGCATATCAGCCATGCTGAATTACTTGCGGCAGCTGAACAGGTTGCCTTTCCGAAGGCCCTCTTGAGGGCCTATTGCACGGTCTACCGTTCCCCGAGGCGGGTGTCTTGGCAAGGGGCGATTTCCAGAATCGTCTCGCCGAATGGCACCGTGATTGCTGGCTGTTCGGGGGCCACCTCGCTCGCTCGCCTGTTGCTCGTGTCGGTGCTGCGCAGAGTGGCATCGTCGTGCCCAACTGTTATCCTGAAAAGTGTCATTGCTGATATTTCTTTTCAGTCCACCGGGGGCCAGGCCACGGTGTGCACTGAGCTTTCGTCGGCGTTCAATCTTGTCACCCAGGACCTCCAGGCTAGGAGCCTCCCAACTCCCTGGAACAAGCTTGGGCTCTTGGCGTCGTCATCCTCCCTGGCCAACCAGCTGGCCTCGAGCTGCCAGCTCCCTGAAGAGGCCAGGTCGTCTGTCCACCGCGACCTTGGAGGGGGCGCGACGGACGGTGCAAGGCGGCGAGTGTCGACCCACCAGGCCCGTTTCCTGGAGGCCCAGGCCAAGGTGGCCAAGGTCCTCAGCCTCCGCGAGACTGGTGCCCCGACGGGTGGAATCTTTCGGGCGGGGGTCACCGCCAAGGCTCTCTGGGGGGCCAACATCCAGGGGCTGCCTGATGGGAAGCTGAAGAGTTTAAGAGTTGCGGCTGTCAAAGCCGAGGGGAGGCTGCCCAAGGGATGCTCGCTCGGATTGGCTTCGATGTGCACGCGTGGGGGTTGGCCGCGAGATCCCTTGGTGCAGGTCTCAGCTGACGCTATCAAGACGTATGTTCAGATTCTAAAGGATGGCAGGCTGTCAGAGCGCGTGCTGTCAGTTTTGTTTGCGAAGGCCTAGGAGGTCGCCCAGAGGCCGAAACCTTGGACGCTGGTCAAGGACCCTGTGTCCGCCCTGGTCTTAACCTGCCTGAGGATCGGGTTTGTCTTCCAGGGGCCTTTCTCGGTGCAGGAGGCCCAGGGACAGGTTTGGGACCTGACTCAGGTCTCGGCCGCGTTCATGGCCAGGCGTGCGCGTTTTTCGGCGCGAAGGTTTTCGGACCTAGCGGCCTTGGGCAAAATCAGACCAGGCAAGGCCTGGCGCGCAGAACTTTTTTGGCGACCGCTGAACGAGCTGCTGCACAGAAGGATCGACGGGGAGGGCGAGGCTGTTGGGACGGGTGGTCCGTGGGGGGTCAGAGAGCAGCGTACGCTCCGAGGACTCCTCATAGGTTCCCATTGGTGCCAGCACAGGCTCAGCGAGCACGATCCTGAGCTGGCGTCAGAATGCCTGGTGTGTGGTGAGCGAGGCACTTTGTTCCATCGCCACTTTCAGTGCCAGGCTAGGGCGGCCTGGCGCCGCGACAATCTTCCCGTGTGTGTGCAGCGCGCAGCCAGCAGAGTTTCGACTTGCAGTATCGAGCTGCAAGAGCGTTTTTCCCGAGGAATCCTTCCAGATCCGTGCCAGCTTCTGGCCAGGAAACCCTGGGATCCTTCCACGGAGTTTCGCGTTGACGGAGGCCTTGCTGGGCCGCTTATGCTTTCCGAGGGGCATGTTTTCTGTGATGGTTCAGGCCTAGATGGACTGTTCCCGTCCATGCGTGTTGCTGGATGGGGAGTCACCGTCTTCGATGAGTCACGCAGGTGTATAGCGGAGTGGTATGGTTCTATGCCCCCAGCCACCTTGCCTGATCAGGTGGCGCGTGACGGCGAGGGCTATAGTTTTTATCGTCTCGAAGCTGTGCGCAGGCGATTTCACTCTGTACTCTGACTGCAAGGGAACGCTAGGCTGCTGTAAAAATAGAGCGCGCTCGGTCTCCTCGGCCAACCCCAGGGCCCACCTCTGGATTCAGTCGTGGGCTTCGGGAGGCCTTGAGGGGGCCAGGTTTAAGAAGGTTCCTGCTCGCGCCTCGGCCAAGGATGTCAGAGACGGCCTCTTGTCAGATTTCGAGCGCACTGGTAACCATGGTGCTGATGGGCTGGCCAAGCTGGGGGCCTCGCTTGTCCAGCACGATGAATGTGACGCCCTCCTGGCCAAGGGCTGCCTGTACCTGGCCCGTGAGGTGTTGCAGTTTATAACGCGTGCGGAAGTCTACCACAGTGAGCTGGGGGTCCACGACAACGTAGGTGCCCAGGGCCTGTCCTTGATTTCCCTGGATCTCCCCTCGGACCACGACGCTCGGCTCGAGTGGGCTCGGGCCGAGGATGAGGCAGCTGCGCCCCCCCCTCGTGTGGAGGCCCCGACGGTCCCTGACCCTGCGGCTGCTGCCTCGCTGGAGAGGTTCCTGGATAGGGCGTCCGAAGGAACGCAGCCGTGGAAGGCGGGGGGCCACTGCCTGTTGGAGTTTCCTGTGGAGTCTTCGGAGGAGGGAGAGGATCACCCACCCCTCCTCTTTTGCTCCACCTGTGGCAGCTACGCAACGACAGTCACAGGTTCCAGGGGCTTGCATTCTGGATGCCAGGGCTCGGCTCACTCTTTGGTCGGCCCTGGTAAGAAGAACACGTCGAGTTTTTTAAAAAGCTCAAGCACCCGAATCGGGCGCGACGGCTGGGGCCCCCGAGATCTCCTGGGGCTCTGGCTCGCGAGCTTTTCGGTTCTCGGTTCCAGGTCGGAGGTTTGGGGTCCCAGCCGACGATTTGGACTTCGAGAGCCCAGCAGTTTTCGGGAACCGCCACTCTCTGCATGGCTGACTGTCTCCAGGCCTTCGGGCTGAATGAGGTGGAGGCCCGTGAGCTCGGACGAGAGTTCCGTGTCCGACAGGCTGCTGCTGTCGAGCTCGACGAAGATTTTTCCTAAGGGGGCTCTGTCGCTGGCCCGCGGTGCGCAGCCTATGCCGAGCCGCACCGTGGTGACAAAAAGGTCCTCTCCGATGGGCCCCCTTAGGGTTTTTGGACCCGTCGGATTCTTTCTCTCTCTCTCTCTCTCTCTTTCTCTCTCTCTCTCTCTCTCTCTCTCTCTCTCTCCCCCCCTTAGTGGCGTGCAATCCTCTTGTTCCTCCTCTTCCTAGTCCTCCTCCTCCTCCTCCTCCTCCTCCTCTTCTCCTCCACCGCTGTCCGAAGTTTTTCCCCCTGGCTCCAGGATGTCGCCTCACGTCGGCAGCTGCGCCCCGCCGAGAGCGCTCCGGGGGGCGCCCGAGTCGTCGCGAGCGGCCGCCCGAGGCACGAGCCATAGCCCGAAAGCCATTTCGAGAGATAGGGGTCCGGACCTCCTCTCGTCGTGGAAGCGGGGCCCAGCCTTTCAGAGAGAGGGGCCCGGCCTTTCAGAGAGAGAGGGGCCCAGCCCTTCGGAGAGATAGGGGCCCAGCCTTTCAGAGAGATAGGGGCCCAGATAGCGGGCGAGAGCTGCTTTCCAATGTTCGGTCTCCCGGGGGGCCGTCGACGTCGCCGTCGCCGCCGAGGCCGTCACCGTCCCGTGAGAGCTGGCGTTGCGAAACAATTGCGGCATCGCGCAAGGCCACGACCGCGGCCCCAGACCCCATCTGTCTGGGCCACCTTTCGAGCCGGATCAATCTGCGATGGTCCTGGGGTCTGAAACTCGGGCGGGTGGTAATGGGGGGTGACTTAAATGGCGTAAATGGAGGATGAGGAACATGGCCCTACAGGGGCCCTGAAGGGCCCCTCTCTTGGAACCAATACAGGTCCAAAAGGAGCCCTGGAGGGCCCATTCAGGGCCCCTTTCCCCCCCCCACGGTTGAGGCCACCCGCACCACCAGCACCACCCGCCCGACAGACGAGGCGATGTCGCGCAGTGGGGAGCAGAGATTGCAACGCCCGGATCTCGGTGGGGGAGAGCGGGCTCGTTTCCTGCCCAGACATGCGACGTTCTGATTTTTCCAGGCCAGCGCCCCTGGAAGTCCCGACCCTTTCCCGGGACCGGTTTTTCGCCCTGAGTCGTGTTCTGACGGCCCCGAGGCCCGGCGAGGGCCACCCCGCGGGCCGAAAATACTCCAAAACCTCCCGTCTGGGACGAGGGCCCGTCGGGGGGTCGCCGCCGTCGGGTCGTCATTGTCGGCGCTGGCATCGGCGCCGCCGCCGTCGGCGCCGCCGGTGTCGTCGGGGCCGAAGATAGTACAAAGCCTCCCGTCCTGTTTTTTTTACGACGCGATCATGCCTGGGGCGGATGAGGAGGAGGAGGAGGACGAGGAGGAGGCGGAGGAGGCGGAGGAGGACGAGGAGGAGGAGGAGGAGGCGGAGGAGGAGGAGGAGGCGGAGGGAGGAAGAGGAGGAGGCGGAGGCGGGGGAGGAGGAGAGGGAGGAGGAGGAGGAGGAGGAGGAGGAGGAGAGGAGGACGAGGAGGGAGAGGAGGAGGCGGAGGAGGAGGAGGAGGAGCGGGCTCACTTCCTACGCGTCCTGCCCGCCCCAGGCCCAGGCCGCCGCCCGCGGGCCATGCCCACGGGCGCCGCCCGGGCCTCCCGCGGCGGGGCGGCCAGCAGTCCGGGCGCGCACGGCGCCCCCTCGGAGGCCTTCGCGCTTGTCGCCGCCGACGTCGCCGCCGACGTCGGCGTTGGCGTCGGCCTCCTCCTCCTCCTCCTCCTCCTCCTCCTCCTCCTCCTCCTCCTCCTCCTCCTCCTCCCTTTTCCTCCTCCTCCTCCTCCACCTCCTCCTCCTCCTCTTCGACGCACCTCGCGCCTCGCTCCCCCGGTGAGGGTGCCCGGAGACGGTCGTCAGGTGCTCGTGTTTGGGGGACCCTCCCGAGGCCCGCCTGGCGGATCTGTTCGGCTCCAGTGCGGCCTCCCCGTTCGACTCCATATGGGCTCGAGTTCGGCCCGAGTTCGACGCAGGTTCGACACAGGTTCGACTCAAGGTCGGCTCACATCGACGGACGTTCGACGCAGGTTCGACGCACGAGTGGAGCGAGTGTCTCCAGGAAGGTCCCCAGAGTGAGCATCCAACGGTCGCGCCGCACAGGTGCGGCCTTTGGGGGCCTTGGGGAGTGGGGGGGGGCGACGTTGTGGAAAAACAAACCATGACGTCGGGGGTCTGCAAGGCTCGGGAGCCGAGGTCCAACCCCTGACAACCAGGCGCCCTCTTCCTAATAGTCATTCTTTGTCTTAGCTTTCTCTTTGTACTTACTTGCCTTCCTTATATTGTTTTCTAGGCCGTTGTTCGACCTTTTAAGTATTGCTAAGGCCTTACGGCCAGTGCCGCCGACCCTGGATACCTCGACCTCGAGGGTGACGGGATGCGTGAGAAGACGTCGGAGGTAAATGAAGACGTGGCGGAGGAGGAAGCGGAGGAGGAGGAGGAGGAGGAGGAGAAGGAGGAGGAGGAGGAGGAGGAGG